TGATGATATTTCTCCTAAATACGAACATTAAATTTTGAAACTAAAACTTGTACTACAAAATATATGCCACTGAGTCTTTCCAACCTTTCAATTGGAAGTAAAAACAGAAATTTTTATTCAAATTAGAAGCATAAGTAGGTACACTGGACTRAATGGACGTAATGTGATCAAATGAATTATATTTAATCATATTACATACATTTTTATAATGTATGGAATAAAGAAATACGAGGAAGGAGAAACAACTCTACCGGCAACAGAGCTGACCAGATGTAAATTTGTAAAATTTATATGACATAATTTWAAAAAAAAGTAATTATTGACTTATTAATTAATAACTACTTGACTATATATTAAAAATTCGCTTTAATATTTTATATTTATTTTTGGAGAAAAATGCATTTTATTAAATTTATCTGTTATTGATTTTTATTAGCCCAATTTCCAATTATAGGTACCCTTTAACACATACATGTGTAAAATAGCACACATGTTATTTAAAGCCCAATAACTGGGTAGTAAATTTAAAAAAAATAAATATTTTATTCGAARCAGGTAGAAAAATGTAGCTCAATTACCAACCACTCGCAATAACTTTTAGTTTAGAACTGAGATTACTCTCCCTCTTCCATTGGCTTGCTCTTAATCTTATTACTGAAAATGACATCTTCTTGCAAGAAACACTTGAACTCTAAGCTAATTCGTGGCTTTACTCGTTTAACCCTTTAATTTGGAATACACCACATWGCCACATCAGTATACATTCGCGAGTTACAGCCATAATCGTTTGGAAACGTCCTCATTGCCCTTTTAAGGCATCAAAACGTAATTTGTGAACTTGTCACACATAAATTCTGTGGCCATAAAATAATAATTTATGTACAGCCAAACACCTTCAGTGGTTGACCTGTTAAACTAAAACTGGAAAGGTATATAAATAATAATATTTAATACTTATTTGGTATTTGTCCTGTTAGAAAGTTTAAGTTTTGTAATTAATCTGCTCTTATATTACAATATTAGTTTGTTAACCGTTATTAAAGTGCAAGTTGAATACCTAAGTATTTTATGTTTTTGTTTTTAAACATACATCTCTCGTATTGTTTTAAATGTTTTTCAAGTAATTTATTTTATCATTCAAAAATTATTGATCATTAATATTATTAATGATAGGTTGATAAGTTCCTAATATATTTTTATTTATTTATAACCTAATTGTTACACAAAAAGAGTTTTAAACGCCCTAAACTAAACAAAGGTCAAYAGAAAAATATTATGTTTATTGAATCACATCAATAATGTATAATTATCAATTAATATTTTGTATTGGAGTTTGGAAGAGATAAAATTCTAATTTAAAAAAAAAACCAGTCTAATACCTACATTTTATGTTAAATCTATCGCCTAAAAAGTTCAATAAAAATAAAATAAAAACTGTAAAGTAACCAAAAAGATTTAAAACAT